CTTTTGCTTGCACTGTTTTCCACCTCTGGAAGCTACGTAATGCTGCCCACTTTGAGCGCGAACCACTCTCCATTCAGGTTGTGACTTCTAAAATCAAGGTTATGGTTTATTCTATCCTAGGGAGACTATGGCCCTTGTACTCTGTAACCTTTTGATGATTGTTTAGCTTTTGCTTTTGGCGTGTCTGCCTTGGTTTGTTTGTTGTCTTATGAATTGGTTTGTGGACATTTGGTGATGTTGTTATCTTTATGGATTTGGAAACTGCCATTTCCAAGCTCGGGTATGCCCATTCTAGTTGTACATTCTTATTCTTTATTCTATTTACATTTTATCGTTGAAAGAGCTCTCAATTCAATAATGGAGTCGGACGTTTTCTCTCTCTAGCCGCGCGATGAACAGTGCCGCGAAGAGGGAATCGACGATTACTCCATGAATTTGAGCTTGATTTGCTTCATTTTTGGAACCTGAGATGCGCCTACAGCTGGTGTATCTAATTCAGGAACAATTTTGCTGTTTTTGGAGAAGGATTTTGGAAAAAACGAAAGTCAACGCCATTCGTGAACTGTTCACTCGCGATTTAATCAACTTTATTTTGGGCTGGTTTAATGGATAATCTTCTCAGATTCTTAGTGGTTTGTAATCCTCTTCCATTCTATGAGCTGCAATGGTAACTGGAATGTGAACTAATCATAGCTCTTGTGGAAGGTTCTCATCTTGAATTTGCTGGTGTGTGACTGTCCGTCAACCTTGACCTGCAATGATTCGGTTGGGACTGCCCAGGGGTAGTTCCTGCCCATGAAGCTGGTTTGGGAAGTGTTGGGAATTGATTTTGGGAGTTATATGGCCTGTGAATTTTTGTTTTGATGCTTTGAAACTGCCTGGGAGATTGCTTGCAGCTGTGTTTCCCTGCTGTCATTGTTCATAGGTCACCTGCCCATTTGATTGCTGCTTTATTGCACCTCACTATGTGTTTCTGTCTGGATGTTTTCCTTGTGTGGTTTTGGGCTGTGCCTTGATGTTGGAACATCTACCCTGGTATAATGGTCTTCGTGAAAGTTCCACCTCTCCCTCAACTTCCTGAAGACTCATTTGTCATACCTTACCTTATTTGTATAAGGTAGGGACTGATTTGAACCCTTGACACTTGTGGCTTGTATGGAAGTTGATGTTGGGATGGGAGCTAGTAACCTTGTGCCTTGTTTGTGCCTTGGGTATGACTACGCCTGCTGGAAAGGAGTGCCTGTTCAACCTTGCTATGGACTTTGCCTCATTGTGGGTGCTGGCTGGACAGTGGCTTTCCTGCTGCCATTGGCCTGGGCAGTAATGCAGTAACGAAACTGCTTTCCCCTGGATTTTGGATCTATCTTGTGTTTGGGCTGAACATGGTGGATGGACTGACCAGTCTAGGTGAACATCCCACACCTTCCCTCAACCTCCTGAAGACTCATATTTGTCATACCCTACTTCATTTGTATGAGGTAAGGACTGATTGATGACTTGGCAGGTGTGGTCTGGTTTTGGAATTTGTTGGGGGGGGGGAGGAAATAGTAACCTTATGCACTGGTTGTGCCTTGGGTATGCCTGGGCTTGCTGGAAGGACTGTCTACTGTTTTTTGCCTCAATTTTTGTGTGGGCAGTATTGTGGAAGCATGGTGAATTGAGTTTAGGGATGACATGGCCCTGAACACTTGCTGCTGCTGTTTTGGATTTTTTGCGCGAAGGAAGGTTGGTGTTCATTAGTCAAGTGTTCTTGGAGCCTTGAGGGTCCCCCTTACCGTGGCATTGACTCTACTATTAGAGTTTCTAAGGGCAACTTCATGGTCCTTGCTTTTGGATCATGCCTGTTTTTGGTGTCCACGGCTTTCGCCTGAGTGACGCTGTTGATGATGGGGTAGTTTTGGTTTGCATGATGGAGGATCTCGCTAGTTCTTGTTCTCTTCTTGTGGACATCCTAGCGATACTCTTACCCGGTCAGTTAGAGGATGATTGCCAATCATTTTTATGCCGTCTTGAATGGTTAGAGCTTTCTCTGGTGATCTTGGCACTTTGTTGTCTTCCTTGACGAGGGTGGACGACATCGTGAACTCAGAACATAGCCCTCGTCGTCCCAGTTTCACTAGGACAACAGATAGGGGATGTTGCTCGTAGTGTGGATACAATGGAGCGTGCCCGGACATGGAGCTCTCTGGACTTGCTTTGGACTCGACTATACAATACTTGGGCAGCACGTTGTGGATTCAGTTGGATTGGGGAGCCATAAACTGAAGGCTTTGGACTAGTGCCGTGGAACCAATGCTTGAAGGAAACTACAGGAACCTAAACTTGCTTACAGGGGGCAGATTTCCAGTTGTTTTCACGCAGGTGACGCTGCTGCTGCCCAGTCCTGTTTTGCTGTTTTTGATTGCTTGTCTGTGACTTTGGGTCCGTGGTGAGGGAGTGATGTGTTTGGCTTGAGATGCCACCTACATATGCTCCCTCCATGCTCTGGTTTGGTCTACCATACTACTGCTTTGAGATGCGGGGTACAGGAAGCTGGAAGTTGATACTGGAGCAAGGAATTGGATTACCTTTTTGTTTTGTTGGCAACTCTGATGCGTCCTTTGATTGTTTATTTGTATCGCCTGCGTGCCAAGTTGTTGTATTATTGTATTATTGTTGTATTCATTACATGCGCGAACCATCTTTATGGTTCAGCATTAGATGTTGATGTACCGTTCTCATTAGGGTAATAATAATTTACATGTTACAATAAAGAGCTCTCAATAATGTTCGGACAAAGCTGTCTCTCTGGCGATTCGGGATGAACAGTACCCGTCGCCGGTTCCGTTCAAATTGAAGGCGTTCACCGGTGAATCTCCTCCAATTGACTGCATTTTCCTTTTCCTCTCATCACGGCGAGCATATCTACCCAAGGAATCGTCTCTTCTCTTGACGGTTGGAGGTTTACGAGAGCTAGGTTTTCGCAGCACTGTTCATCGTCTTCTCCAGTTGGTGTCGATGTTCCTCCGGTAAGTGTGCTTTGTCTCTTTGATGGCGAAGAACAGAAAAAAAGGGAGTGGGAATCCCACCCCTCCAACCCCTCCAAATGTGAGGAACTTTCTCCAAGGTATTGAGGACGATGTTGGGACAACAGCGGTAGTCTCTGCGTCTGGGTCTGGTGTTGAAGGTGAAGAGCTGCTGGTTGGAAACGAAATGACCAAGGCTGATGGTGTTGATGGAAGGTCAGCTTCTCCTGACTCTCTATCTCGTTCTCCTTCTATGGATGAGGAAGCCATGGCATTGGAACTGGAAAATGAACGGCGTAAGGAAAAACCAGTGCTTCAAGATTCTGTCCAGGAGGTGCTACACAAGGATGTGAACATCCCTGCCACTGGCATATTCACTGCTGGGAACCAACCTACTGCAAAGGATGTGAACACCCATGCCATTGCCACATCCACTGCCAAAGAAGCTGGGAAACAACCTACTTCTGCTGGTAGTGGGAAAGAAGCTGGAAACAATGATTTTAACATCACTGCCAAAAATTACGAAAAACCAGTGGAGAAAAAATCTTTTGTATCTTTGTTTGAGAAGAACAGGTCTGAATATAAGGGTATGAAGCTTCATACGGTTGATATGGCTGAGGATGATGAGGTCTTTATTCAACCCGAAGACATAACACCTATGGAGGAGTTATGGGGACCTTGCTTGGTTGGATGTTTTACCGGAAGATTCCCTGGCCTTGCTCCCATCCAAACCTTGGTGGAATCCTGGAAAGTGCCTTGCCAATTCCTCCCTCACCACAAAGGCTGGGTTATTTTTAAATTCTTGACAGATGCTGACAGGGATTTTGTGCTACATAAGGATGATCATAGAATCAACAATAAGAAATTGCTGCTTAATATTCCACAGGATGGGTTTATGTGGAATGCAAAATCTTTTTCCACTATGCCGGTTTGGGTGAAGCTCATGGATGTTCCTATGCAGTTTTGGGGTCCTAATAGTTTGTCAAAAATTGCCTCAAAACTGGGAAGACCACTCTTTACAGATGGCCTCACTAATAAGGTGGCTTCCAAGTTAACCTTGGAGGAAGATCCCGAGGATAAAATGGCCTACAAGAAACCTAACTTCTGTAGAGTTTTTGTTCATATGGACCTCTCCAAACCCCCTCCTTCTTCTATAAAAGTGAATTTTGTTGGAGGGAATTATATTCAACATGTGGAGTATGAGGACCTACCTCTTTATTGCTATCACTGTGAGAAGTTTAGACATACTCCTTTTGACTGTGTCCATCTCTATGAATTGGAAAAAAGGAAAGCTCAAGAAGACCAGAAACATCTTGACAAAGCTAAGGTGGAAATCTTGAAGACAACATTCCTGGCAGAAACTAGGGCTGGACAAGGTAATGAGACCAGGGTTAATCAGGGACAGCACAAGGAGGGTGATTCAGGCAATAAGAAGGAGGACACGGGTCATAACAAGGGTGATAAGGCTGCAATTCCTGATAAGAGGACCCCCACACTTCCTAACCCTGATGAACCCTCACCTTCTTTCTCCAAGAAAGATGATAATGATGGATTTACCCTTGTGGGAAAAGGAAAGGGAACCCTTACCACACACCCGTTGAAACCCCAATACAAAAGAGAAACCCGAGGCAGTGGGCGTGGACAGACATATGGATACAGGGGTGGCACATATCGAGGAGGAAGGGGTCCAGGCCCTAACTCTTAATGAAAGTACTCTGTTGGAATTTTAGAGGCCTGAATAGGGCCTCTAAACAAAGTTTTCTGTGTAAATATATTATGGACCTTGGTGCGCACCTTTGTTGCATTTTGGAGACCAAGATGACTGATTCTAAGCTTAACATCTTCGTTAATAATAAACTTCCCTCGTGGGCCGCAGCTCACAATTTTGATAAGATTGATGCTGGGAGGATAGCTATCCTATGGAACCCCAATTTTGTCACCTGTGAGGTTCTCGAAATTAGTGATCAGTATATCCATTGTAGTATTTTATGCTCCATCACTCAAAAATCCTTCCACATTACATTTGTGTTTGCCTTATACAATGTGAGTGTGCGAAGAGAGCTTTGGGACAGACTTTCTACTATTGCTAGCAGATTGTGCACACCATGGGCAGTTATGGGGGATTTCAACACTGTTTTGGACTCCAGTGAGAGGGTAAACTGCCATACCTATGCATATGATATGACTGACCTCTTACAGTTTAGACTAAACAATGATCTTCTCGATGCAAAGGCTACGGGCTTGCAACTCACTTGGAACAAAGGCAACAAGTGGGCCCAACTTGATAGAGTCTTGATAAATTGTGAATGGGACCGTCTCCATTGGGAATGCTGGGCTGATTTCAAGCCAATGGAGTTCCAATCAGATCACTGCCCCGTTGTCTTGAATCTCTTCCAACAAAGCAACCGGGGTCCTAAACCGTTTAAATTTTTTAATATGTGGATGCAACATGAATCTTTTGACAGTTTGGTGCGGCAGATTTGGGACAGAAGGGTTACTGGAACGAGGCAATTCAGATTATGCAGTAAGCTCAAAATGCTGAAGCAACCACTGAGACAACTTAATAATAAGGATTTTAGCCACATTTCAACCACTTAATAATAAGGATTTTAGCCACATTTCAACCAGGGCTGAGAATGCTAGAAACACATACTCGGAACTTATGGCTAGACTACTGAATGATCCTGATAACACTGCCCTAATTCATGAAACGGCTTCTGTTAGGAAAAAGGCTGCCTTTTATTGTGAAGCTGAAAGATCCTTTTACCTACAGAAAGTCAAATGCAAGTTCATTAATGAGGGAGATAAATGCAGCAAATTCTTCCACTCCCTGATGAAGAAACAAACTGCCCTGAACTCCATCCCCTTCGTCATCACTAGTCAAGGGACTACCACTACATCTTTGGAACCCATTGTGGATGAATTCATTGGACACTTTAGCACTATCTTTGGACAAACTGTTCCCACATCCCCTATTGACTGGGATGTATTTAAAGAGGGACCCCTAGTTCAAGACTTCGAAGCTAAGAATCTGAACAGGAAAGTGGACATGCTTGAAGTGAAGGAAGCACTCTTTAGTATTGGGAATGACAAATCACCGGGACCTGATGGGTACACAGCTGCCTTCTTCAAACAGAATTGGCCAGTTGTTGGACATACCCTTTTTGATGCTATTTCTGAGTTCTTTACTAGTGGAAGACTTCTTAAACAAATCAATCATGCTACGGTTGTACTCATCCCCAAGGTCAAGGAGAACCCTACTGTTAAAGATTTTAGGCCAATCGCTTGCTCAAATGTCACATATAAAATCATCACGAAGATCCTTTCTAACAGAATGGCACCACTCCTGCCTGACCTAATTAACCCTGCACAGGCAGCGTTCATCAAGGGAAGATGTTTGGTAGACAACGTCTTATTGGCCCAACATTTAGTAAGGGGATATGCTAGAAAGAGATCCCCACCTTGTTGCATGATGAAAGTGGATATTTCCAAGGCTTATGACACTATCTCGTGGGATTTTCTGAAGAATACACTGGAAGGGCTGCAGTTTCCTTCCAAGTTTATTTCTTGGGTCATGGAATGTGTCACTACGTCATCCCTCTCAATCTCTATCAATGGTGACGTGCATGGCTTCATTAAGTGTAAGAGAGGGATTAGACAAGGTGACCCCATGGCCCCCACTCTCTTTCTATTCTGCATGGAGTACTTCTCAAGGATGATCAGGAAAATACTTTGTGGGAGCAGATTTACTCACCATCTGAGGTGCGCTAAACTTGGTATCACTCATATTGCGTTTGCTGATGATGTGATGATGTTTTGTCGGGGAAACATGGATTCTGTTACTGTCTTGACCAATGCCATTAAAGAGTTTTCCCAAGTATCTGGATTGCATGTTAATCCTTTGAAATCCAATATCTATTTGGCTGGTGAAATTAAGGATAACAAGCATGATTTGCTATCCTTAGTCTCTTTCCCTGAGGGTAAACTCCCGGTACGATACTTGGGACTCCCATTGACTTCTCAAAGAGCTTCCGAGAGGGACTTTGCATCGCTTGTTGCTAAAGTGGATGAAAATATTAGAAAGTGGAATACCAGATCGTTATCTCCAGCTGGTAGACTGGAACTTGTTAGAAGTGTCATTCAAGGTGTTGAGGGCTTTTGGTTTCAGGCATTCCCCATCCATAAAACTATACTGGACAGAATTACATCCCTATGCAGAACCTTTGTGTGGGGAAGTAAGTTTTGCAAGGTGGCCTGGGCTGACGTATGTAAACCTAAAGATGAAGGGGGCTTAGGCTTGAGAGATTCAATGATTTGGAACCAAGCTCTGCTGGCTAAGAGCCTATGGAATATTGCCTCAAAAAAGGACACTTTGTGGATTCAATGGGTACACTCGGTTTATCTTCAAGGCAGTAATTTTTGGACCTGGATTCCTAGCAAAAAGGACTCCCACTTTTTTAAGAAGATTGCTGATGTTAGGGATTCCCTATTACAAAAGTGTGGTGATAGATTCATGATTGAAGACAACTTATGTGACATAGGTGATATGAAAGCCACCAAGGTCTATGAGCTTTTGAGGTCCAAAGCTAGCATGAGACCTTGGATGAAAGTAATATGGCAGCCTTATATTCCCCCTAGATACTCATTCACTGTTTGGCTAACGTTGCGTGGGAGACTCCCTACAAAAATGAACCTCCACTTCATTCCCATGGACAACAGGAGATGTGAGTTTTGTCATACTGAGGAGGAAACTACACAGCACCTGTTCTTCCTATGTGAGATTACCTCCCTCATTTGGGGTACTATTAAGAATTGGCTTAAGATTACACCTGCATTATCTACTCTTGAGAGGTCCATTACATGGGCTAGGAGACAAAGGCACAACCACTGTGCCAAAAGGAAATTGTGGAGACTGGCCATCCTGTCCACAGTTTACAACATTTGGAGAAGTAGAAATGGGGTCTATTTTGATAAACAACCCATACATGCTGATACCATCATTAATAAAATCAAAGTGGGGATATACAAGGTGATGTATAGACTATTCCCCCAGGATATGTTGGATCTGTGATTGCGATTGGGCTGCCAGCTCTTTTGTTTTTGGTTACTGGTTGTTGGACTTAGGGTAAAATCTTTTAAGAGGATACCCTGGTCCTACAGATTGTGATTTTCCCTANTGTTGTGGTTTCGTGTTTTGTTTTCTGTGTTCTTGGTATGGTGGTACTGGAGCTCCTTTTTGCTTGGCCTGTTCTTTTGATTACTGGGTTGAACCCTAGTCCTACGCTTGGGACTATGGGACATATACAATGAGGACAGAACTGCCTGGAGCAGGCCTTGGTCTTTTACCAGGGGCATGCTGTTTGGGATCTTTGTACGTGGTTTCTTATGGTTTTATGTTGAGGATTTCCTTGTGCTTTGGAAAACTATATGTTGGACTTAGTGGAGCTATGGAACTGCACTGCAAATACCCCAATCTGCCCAGAGCAATTGGGAGACTTTGGGTAGTGTTTGGGCTGGTTTTGGAGAGCTTTTGCTGTGATTGGGCAGTGTTCCTTGCTGTGTTTTGGGCTTTGTGTGATGTACAACTGTTTTTGCTGCGCCTTTTTGGAATTTGGTAAGGTTTGGAAGCTTCAAGCTGTGATGTGGAGGGTGAATTCTTGGCAAGCCTGATATGGTCTCTGCCCAGACTTTCTGCCATAGAAGACTTCTTCCTGCTACTGTTTTGAAGGCCACTGGACTGGACTTGCTTCTGCCCAACCTTTGCTGACCTTTACTGATTCTCTCCGCTAGAAATTGGAGTCCAAATGGCATTGTGGCGCTGCTAGGTTGGGTTCCAAGGGGCTGTTTTCCATGCTTAAACAATGCCATGAACTTGAATCTGCCATGGACTTGGATTTGCTGGTCTGCACCAGATGCTGATTCTGGAAGTGTGAATTAGGCTGCATGTGGGCTGAATTGGAGCTGAATCTCTTGGGCATGATGGTCTAATTGGTTAGCTTCTGTATTTTTTCCTGATGCCTCTGGTTTTGCCTCATTTGTTGAGGTAATACCAACTGATTTTGATGAGTTTCTCACGCGGTTTTACCTCATGATGGAGGTAATACCATTCGATTGGGGTTGAGTTTTATGTTGTATTTTGCCTCAATGGTCCTGCTGGCAGGCTGCCTAAGCTCTTTCTCATCCTTTCGGTTGGGGTTTTTGGAGGAGCCTGGGTTATCTCGGCCAACAAGTGCATCTTGTGGTTGATTTTGCTTTTTCTCGGGTTTTGTTTTCGCTGGGAGTTTGTTTTCGCTGGATCCTGCCTATCTATGTCTTGCTTCTGAACTCAAACCGAGGGCAATTGTGGATGAAGGCTTACGGGACAACCTAGTGAACTTGCGCCTAGTCTTTATGGGGACGCTTCCCAAATACTTTGGGGGAACTCTGACCATAGACCTAGGAGGGGTTTGTATGGCAGAGTGTGTGTGTCTCAGGTCACTTTGGAGTTTAAGTTGTCTGCCTTGACGAGGGTGGACAACTTCTGGCACTCGGGGACTAGCCCCTTGGCATGCCGGTGGAAAGCATCAACCTTGTTGATGGATGATGGTGACTATGGTAAGATTAACATTTCACTCGCCTCTTTTGGATGCATGACATTGAATGAAGAACTTTGAAGCTGGTTTTGAATCTTGTCTGAGCGTTTTTTGTACTGGATCCTTGGGGAGGGAGTATATATGGGTGGTCTGTGCTGATACCCCCAATATATGCTCCCTCCATGCTCTTGTTTTGCCTACCGTACTATTGCCGGGATGATGCATGGTACTCGTAGCTGGAAGCGGATTCCACAAGAGCCGGGACGTGGTCCGCTATGATGAAGTGGGACCACATTGATGTTTTAGTGATGATTATGTATTTTGTATGGCCTGCGTGCCAAGTTTATGTATGTTGATTGTTGTATTATCTTTGGCTTTGTTGTTGATGTTTGTTGTCTTATTTATGCATGGAACCATTCTTATGGTTCGGCATTTGACATTGATGTACCGTTCTGAGTTGGGGTAATAATAATTTACATTTTACCCTTGTAATAGGGATTCCCTATTACAAAAGTGTGGTGATAGATTCATGATTGAAGACAACTTATGTGACATAGGTGATATGAAAGCCACCAAGGTCTATGAGCTTTTGAGGTCCAAAGCTAGCATGAGACCTTGGATGAAAGTAATATGGCAGCCTTATATTCCCCCTAGATACTCATTCACTGTTTGGCTAACGTTGCGTGGGAGACTCCCTACAAAAATGAACCTCCACTTCATTCCCATGGACAACAGGAGATGTGAGTTTTGTCGTACTGAGGAGGAAACTACACAGCACCTGTTCTTCCTATGTGAGATTACCTCCCTCATTTGGGGTACTATTAAGAATTGGCTTAAGATTACACCTGCATTATCTACTCTTGAGAGGGCCATTACATGGGCTAGGAGACAAAGGCACAACCACTGTGCCAAAAGGAAATTGTGGAGACTGGCCATCCTGTCCACAATTTACAACATTTGGAGAAGTAGAAATGGGGTCTATTTTGATAAACAACCCATACATGCTGATACCATCATTAGTAAAATCAAAGTGGGGATATACAAGGTGATGTATAGACTATACCCCCAGGATATGTTGGATCTGTGATTGCGTTTGGGCTGCCAGTTCTTTTGTTTTTGGTTACTGGTTGCTGGACTTAGGGTAAAATCTTTTAAGAGGATACCCTGGTCCTACAGATTGTGATTTTCCCTACCCTCTGATGATAACTTTGTGTTTGAGGAGTGTTGGATCTCTTGGGGCATAGATGCAACCCTTGTGATCCTTTGTGGGCACTAGGGCCAGATCTAGGTCCTCCACTTGGGGCTGGAACCAGTTCAAAGAACAGAAATCCTTCTTTGGATTCCTATGTTCTGGACTGGATCCTGGGGGCTGTTTGGGACGCTGGATACGGTTTCTCTATGAGCTAACTGTATCTAAGGCGTGGGCTAACCTTAATGACTTTGCTCTGGCATTGGCATTGGGGTGGTGGAAACAATTATACCTCTTTATACCCCTTTCTGGTACAAAGAGGTATTTTTGGGTCCCGGTTGGGGTGTTTTCACCTTTTCCGTCTTTTTCGTTCCCCCCCCCTTCTCTTCTCTTCCTTCTTCTCACCTCTTTTCTCCTCCTTTCCCTATACCCTTCCATTTCTCCTAAATGCATACCAATTATATAGGCTTACTCCTCCTTCTGAGTGGGCTTATATACATAGGTTGTGTTTGGGTTGTGGGTGCTTGGGGTTGGTTAACCTTGGCGGAAACAGACTTAAGGCTTTGTACCCTTTTTGGATACGTAGAGTTACGTTTGGGTCTTTGGGTCGGCTTCCCCCCTTTTTTGGACTTAGACCGTAGTGCATTATACAACCTTTTTCAAAGGGTTTTATGCACTAAGGTTGGGTCACTTGGTTTTGATTGGTTTTGACTGATGTGGATTCGGACAACATGGGGTTTCCTGTGGACTTTGTACAGAGGAACTGCAGGGATCATGCTTGCTGCAGTAGCCCATCATGACTAACTGCTATACGGTGGGCTGTTGCTTGTGCTATTGAGAACTGGAACTGCCTGGACACTTCTGAATTTGACTACTACTGAAGTACAGGGCTGGTTTAGGTGAGCTGAGTGCCTATACAGTGATGACTGCAAAGAGTTGCTGACTGCCTGGAGCTTTCATCCATGATGCCGCTGAACACGATGACCACCACTGGTTGAACAAGTCTGGACTTACATGGCTGAAAACTGGCGAGCCGACCTGAAATGATGAGGTTTAGGCTTGCTGCTGTACTTTTACCCCAGCTGCTGAACATCTTTGGACCACATCCTTGGCCTTTGAGACACTGAAAATGGCTACTTTATTACTCTAGAATGTTATGGGATCTGCTTCTGTACTATTCACGGCCTTGAATGCACCCTGCCTGGACAGTTTGAGCACCCTGATTTTGGACCTTGGCTTTGTATGCACCAGGATTTGAAATTTTTTGAATCAATGCTTAGATTATGTATGGTTATTTTGTTTGGATGTGTACACATTTTTACTATAATTTTGTATTTGTATTGGTTGTAATCCTGTTTACTTTTGTACCTATGCATGTAACCATCTCTATGGTTAAGCATTTAACACTCTTGTATTTCATTGATTACGGGTAATAATAATTTGCATGTTACCTTTGAAAGAACCACCACCCATAGAATCTTGAAAGAGCTCTCAATAATGTTCGGACAAGTCTCGCACTGAGGCGATCGACATGAACAGTGTCCGATTGTCTTCTCCGTTCATTTTCGCGACGCTGCTGGTGGTGTAACTCCTGTTTGTTTGCAGATTCTTCATCTCCTTGTTGTGGTGTGCTTCTCCTTTGGTGGAATCGCTGGATTCTGTCATCTCTTGAAGTCAACGCAAGCTAGGGTTGGAGTTTCACTGTTCTTCTTCTACGCTATCTTCTCCGATGATTTCCAGGTAAGTGTGGCTTGTTCCCTGATTTCGAGCTGCTCTTTGATGGCGAAGGGCAAGAAGAAGGAGCGTAGGCCTCCACCTCCCACTCCTCCTAAAAAGAAAGACCTGCGTAACTTTCTTCGTGATTTGGAGGAGGAGTCTGGGATTGGAGATGATATAGTGGATTGTGCTGAGAATTTGGTTAACTATCCGGTCATGACTGAGGAGGATTTTCTTCCTTGCTCTAAACCTGGTGAGGTCATGATTGATGATGATGATGAACGGGATATTGTGAATAGGGTTGATTCATCTGACGACGATAAGGGTGAACCTTCGGTTCAGTCCTCCTTTGACACCTCAATTGATGAAGAAGAAGTTGCTAGGACTCTCCAAATCTCTCTGGAGCAGAACCTAGAAGCCATCCTCACTGATGATGGGGATAATACCATGGCCAATGAACAACCTTTGAACAAGGAGACTCCTCCTGATAATGGTGCTGATATTCATGTGGAACAACCTACCAACAACGAGGAGAAAGAGAAGGAAAAAGAACTTCCTGACGTTGGCAAGAGTAGAGATAAGCTGAACGATAATAAAGTGGATAAGCCTGCTGATTCAAAGAAATCTTTTGCTTCCTTTTTCAAGAAAAATAGGGCTGAAGATAAGGGAATGAAGCTTCACAAGGTTGTTGCTGCTAAGTGCTTCATACCTGAAGAAGACATGCTGACTGTGGAAGAAATCTGGGGACCTTGTCTGGTGGGTTGCTTCACTGGTAGATTCCCTGGGCTGGTAGCCATCCAAAAACTGGTTGATAGTTGGGGAGTCAAGTGCAAGTTCCTGCCTCATCACCAAGGATGGGTTGTCTTCAAATTCCTTACCAATGAGGATAGGGATTCTGCTCTCTTACATGCCAAGAAAGAACTCAATAATAAGAAATTGCTCATTAACATTCCTCCTGATGACTTTATGTGGGATATTAAGTCCTTTTCAACTATGCCTGTCTGGGTTAAACTGTGGAATGTTCCCATGAGGTTCTGGTCCTCAAATGCCCTATCACACATAGGGTCTCAACTTGGCACTCCCTTGTACACTGATGGCCTCACTCACACAGTGGCTTCCAAGTTGAGTGCTGAGGATCAGGAAGAGAATGATGAGCTTAAGTATCAGAAGCCCAATTACTGCAGAATGTTGATAAACATGGACCTATCCCTTACACCTCCCACTTCTGTTGAGGTGGATTTTGTTGGGGGTAGCTATGTTCAAAAGGTTGAGTATGAGGACATGCCTCAATACTGCTATCATTGTAAGTGTTTTGGCCATGACCCCTTTAACTGCTTAGTTCTTCATGAGATTAACAAGAGAAAATACAATGAAGAACAAAAAGTAAGAGAGAGGGCTAGGGTTGAAACCCTTAAGACCATAATGCTTACAGAAGCACAACAACAACCACAGAAGGGGAAGGAAAATGGGAAAGATGAAGTGAACAACACTGCTGAAAACAAAGGAAAAGGAAAACAGAAAACTGGATACAACAAAGGGGGAGGTCAGACTGGAGGATACAGAGGTGGGGCAAACAGAGGAAGGGGAAGGGGCTATGGCCCTTACCGTTGATGAAGGTACTTTGTTGGAACATTAGAGGCCTTGGCAAGGCCTCTAAGCAAAACTTTTTGTGTAAATACCTTTTTGACCTTGGTGTCAACTTATTTTGTGCTTTAGAAACAAAAATGAATACTGCCAAACTTAACCTTTTTGCTAAAAATAAAATCCCATCATGGAGCTTTTCACATAATTTTGATCTTATTGATGATGGGAGAATGGCAGTTTTTTGGAATCCTTCTTTTGTGGAGTGCACTATTATTCATGTCACTGACCAACTTATGCATTGCAAGATCAAGTGCCTCATTTCTCAGAGGAGTTTTTATGTTTCTTTTGTTTATGCCCTCTACTGTGTTACTGCCAGAAGGGGGTTGTGGGATTTTTTGACTAACATTGCAGGTGATCTCAGTAGCCCTTGGGCTGTCATGGGGGATTTCAATGCAGTTATCAGCTCCACTGAAAGAGTGAACTGCCAAACCCAGAGTGCCTACTACATGACAGATCTCAGACAGTTCAGAATCAACAATGCCCTTAATGATGCTAACTCATCAGGGCTGGAATTTACTTGGAACAAAGGGGAAAAATGGGCCAAACTTGACAGAGTTCTGATCAATGATGAATGGGAAAATATGCAATGGGATTGCTGGGCTGAATTTAGAGACATGGAGGCAATCTCTGACCACTGCCCAGTGTTGCTGAAACTTATGAATATCCAGAACCAGAGCACCAGGCCTTTTAAGTTTTACAATATGTGGCTCAAGCATGATAATTTTGATATGGTGGTCAGGGAGAATTGGAAGCAATGGGTCAATGGTACAAGGCAATACAGATTATGTGTCAAACTCAAAAAACTGAAACAACCTTTGAGGCTTCTGAATAAACAACATTTTGGCCATATTTCTCAGAGAGCTGAATCTGCCAGAAAAGAGTACAGCCATCTCATGCAGGAGCTGATCCTGGAACCTGACAACCCTTCCCTTCTGTCCAAAAGTGTTGAACTTAGAAACAAAGTCAGTTTCTTCATGGATGCTGAAAGATCTTTCTTCCAACAGAAGACTAAGTGTGAACTGCTCTTTGAGGGGGAGAAATGCACCAAATTTTTCCATGCCCTGATGAGGTAAAAGAATCATAGCAGTGCCATCCCCTTCATTCTTACAAATGATCAGAGACTCACCACCAGTTTGGAGGAGGTTGAAAAGGAATTTATTGAGTACTTTACCAATCTCTTTGGAACCACTGTCCCCATTGAACCTGTTGATTGGAATGTTTTTGAAGAGGGCCCTCTCATCCCCAACCATGCAGCTAACAACCTCATCAAAAAGGTGACTATTGAAGAGGTTAGGGATGCACTATTTTCTATTGGGAATAACAAATCCCCTGGCCCTGATGGTTACACCTCTGCTTTTTTCAAGGAAAAGTGGGATATTGTTGGAAATAATCTGTATGAAGCAGTGTCTGAATTCTTTATTAGTGGGAGAATTCTTAAGCAACTCAACCATGCTATTGTGGCCTTGATCCCTAAAGTTAAAGTGAACCCTACTGTTAGGGATTTTAGACCCATAGCCTGCTCCAATGTTATCTATAAAGTCATCACTAAGATTTTGTCCAACAGAATGAGTCACATACTTCCTAAAATTATTGATCAAGCACAGTCTGCTTTTGTGGGTGGGAGAAGTCTGGTGGACAACATACTGCTGGCACAACACCTGGTTAGAGGGTATGCCAGAAAAAGAAGTCCTCCTTGTTGCATGCTTAAAGTGGATATAACCAAGGCATATGACACTATTTCTTGGGAGTTTTTGAAGAATACTATGACTGGCCTTACATTCCCTACTAAGTTCACTGCTTGGATAATGGAATGTGTATCTTCTGCATCCTTATCCTTATCTTTGAATGGTGGAATTCATGGCTTCATCAAGTGCAAAAGAGGAATCAGACAAGGAGACCCCATGGCACCTACCTTGTTCTTATTCTGCATGGAATACCTCTCTAGACTTCTGAAGAGAATGACAAGAGAGAGAAGATTTAACTTCCACTCTAAATGCTCCTCCCTGTAGATAACACACATTGCCTTTGCTGATGACATCATGATGTTCTCCAGAGGGGACAAAGAATCTGTCCAGGTCCTTGCTGATGCCTTGAAGCACTTTTCCTCTGTCTCAGGCCTCCATGTCAATGCACATAAATCAAACATTTATTTGGCAGGGCAAATCAAGGGGAATAAGCAGCATATCCTCAACTTGGTGAATTTCCCTGAAGGACTTTTACCAGTTAAATACCTAGGACTGCCACTCACTTCCCAAAGGGCATCAGAGAGGGACTTTGCACCATTGATTGAAACTGTTGATGATAATATAAGAAGATGGAACACAAAAACTTTGACTATTGCTGGAAGATCTGAACTTATTAGGAGTGTTATCCAAGGGATAGAAGGTTTTTGGCTTCAAGCTTTCCCCATCCATAAATCTGTCCTTAACAGGATAACCTCCATCTGCAGAACCTTCCTTTGGGGAAACAAATTCTACAAAGTGTCTTGGGATGATATTTGCAAACCAAAAGAGGAAGGGGGACATGGGCTTAGGAACTCAGAAGTTTGGAATCAAGCACTTATGGCTAAAAATCTGTGGAACATTGCTTCAAGAAAAGAAACCCTCTGAGTTCAGTGGGTTCACAGTGTCTACCTTCAGGACAGAGACATTTGGGCCTGGATCCCTAAACATGGGGATTCACACTTCTTCAAAAAGCTTGCAGAAGTGAGAAACAATCTAGCCCAGAAGCTTGGTATTGATCAGAATCAAGAAGTGGATTGGGATGAACTCCTTGTTGATGGAATATTCTGTACAACGAAGGTGTATGATTTACTGAGAGTCCATTTGCCTCCTAAACCTTGCATGAAAATGATTTGGCAAAGCTACATTCCACCCAGATTCTCTGTTACAACCTGGCTTGCCATTAGAAGGAGGTTATCAACCAAGGTGAATCTGGGATTTATCCCCATGGAGAATAGGAATTGTAGCCTCTGTGGACAAGAACTTGAGACCACTGATCATCTTTTCTTTGCTTGCACTGCTTCCCATCAGATTTGGAAGAATGTGAAAGATTGGCTCAAAATTCCTTATGCACTCTCAACTATTGAAAGAGTTATCAAATGGCTCCTTGGAAGGCATAGAGTGCATGGTAACCTGAGAAACATCTGGAGATTAGCAGCAATGAGCACCATACATCATATTTGGAAGTTGAGAAATGCTGTGTATTTTGAGGGTAAGAGTGTGGACTGTGATGCAACTACTTGGAAAATTAAAGTGGGGGTCTATAAGATTTGCTACAGGATCTATCCCAATATTGCACTGTAAGCCCTCTCTCTTTGATCTTGTGACTGGTTGGCTTGATTGGGTTTAAGTGTTTAATGATTTTCTCATGAAACCACTTAACCTGTTTTCTTGGTACATCATTACCTCTATCATACTGGTTTATCTAGTCTGATTAGGCTAATGAGGCACCATGGGTGGGGTTTTTTACTCCTAGCTGTTGGTTGGTGGATAACGGGTTACATAGTGCTTAACCTTTTTGGATAAGCAATATGTTCCCTGGGATCAGGGGGGATGTTTTCCCTTGGTGGTTGGTGGCTTGGATACTCAACATTCTCTGGTTATTCCTTTTTGAATAACTCTAGAATGTTTTGAATCCTGGGTTGGGTAGTTGGACCCCTTTGGCTTTGCTACTGGGGTGGTGGAAATAAATCAGACTCTATGTACCCTTTTGGATATGTAGAGACTGACTTAGGTCCTGGTTGGGGTGTTTACACCCATTTCCTTCTTTCTCTCCCTCTCCTCCCCTTCTTGCTATTCACCCTTCTCTTCTTGGCCTCCTCCTTCTCTCTTGGTCATAACCTGGTTGTTCACACTCCAATCACTCTTCAGATTGAGTATGAGCAGACTTGGTTATGGCCTGGGTTCCTTTTGGGTGGGTGGACCCTTTGGGTGGTGGAAACAGGTCATTCTTTGGATACCCCTTCTGGATATGTAAAGAATAACCTGGATCCCAGGTTGGGGTGTGTCACACATCCATTTTCTTTCTTTTCCTCCCCCCCTCCCTTCTTCTTTCTTCTTCTTTTCCCTTCACCATTTCTCTTTGCTTCCCTCTCTCATCTCTTTTCCTCTGTGTTCTGGAGTCAAACCATGCCACACATTGCCTTTCTTCCTTTGAAAGAATGTGCTAATTGGTTTGCCTCCCTTGTCCTTTGACTTTGGTGGAACATTATGTGATCACATTGCCTTTGATGCTGGACTCTCTGAAGATGACCTAATTCTGATGACCTTGGCCACTCTTACCCAGCCATTGCATAGCCTCTCCTTATTTGCATAAGGGAGTTTCTGTTTTGCTACCACATGGCCTGGGGGCTGAGGATATGCTGGAATTAGGCCACTGTTCTGTGATGATCCTGCCTTTGTTTTGTGGGTGAACTGGAACAGTATTAGTAGTTGGTGACTCAATGGACCTGACCTGGAACATTCTGCTTGGCTCTCCTCAACAGGATCCCTGTTTGCTATCTTGTTTTGAATGATGTTACAGCCCTCAGCATTAACTGGAATGATTTGGTTGCTGTTTCTTTTGCTTTTTCTGAAGATTGGGTACCTGTTTGCAATGGTTGGTTTGACAGGAGTGTGCTGATTTTTGATACTTGGGTTTGACTACTCCTGTTTTGGCATCCCTGTGTTGTAGAAGAGCTGGTACACTCTTCGAAGGGACTTGGGCATACCTGTTTGCAATGGTCGTTTTGACATGATTTCGTTGCTTTTGATGTGGCTTTGACTCCTCCTCTCTTGGATTCCCTGTGTTGTAGAAGAGCTGAAACACTCTTTGAAGGGACTTGGATTTACCTGTTTGCAATGTTTGTTTTGACAAAAGCTCACTGCTTTGCCTTAACTGGAGCAGTGCAAACATGATGCTGTTTTGAATTTTTGGCCTCCCTGTGTTGTAGAAGAGCTGTTAACCTCTGCGAAGGGAATCTTATTAGGCCTTGGTTGTAGTTGTTGTTTTGATGTATTGTGTGTAACTGCTTTTGTATATACGATGTACTTGTAACTTCTTAAATATGCGTGTAACCATGTTGATGGTTAAGCATATAACATTGATGTACCTTTTCTGATTTGGGTAATAGTAATTTACATGTTACCCTTGAAAGAACCTGATAAGGAAAGAACCTGATAAGAGCTCTCAAAATATAGGTTTCTCTCTCTAGATGGGCGACGGATGAACAGTACCGTGCAAACTTGAGATCGAGATTCCAGTTGATTTTGTGGAGTATTTTCGTTGATTCTTGATCCTACATGTAACACCCCAAAAATAGGCCTATCAGAGTTAATTAATTTATAATTAATTAATTACTGAGAAGGACCCAAAAATAAGTAAATTCTAAAGTTTGTCAATAAATAATGAAAATCATATCATTATGTAGAGTTTGACTGTCTGACCCCAACGGTTCAATTGGAATTCAATTCGGAGAAGGTTGGACCAAAAAGTGTACCCCGACTGGAACCAAAATTGGTCCCAATCAGGGACTTGCGTTTGGAATCTTAGTTATCGGCCGTCTGCTCCACTGAGACGCCAAAACAGGAGAACAACATGTCATCCCATGTCTTCTTCCCCTTCCTTTCTTCTTTATAATGGAAACAAAAACTTCACCATTTCTTCACCATTCTTCATCAAATTCGTTTTGGGAGATAGCCTTGAGTGTGGAGAACGCAGTGGTGCTGTCAATTTGGTGTAAGGTCGCCGGAGTTGAGAGCTATCGTCGCCGGAAGTTTCGCCGGAAAATTCTCAAAACCTCCATTAATATTCGAAGTAAGCCTGTAGATATATCTAATGACTAGAATGTTCATATAGGTTGTTTTTACGTTCATAAATGGTCGTTTGGTTGAGTTTTGTGTTTGACATGTTTGAAGAACCAAGAATCATAAACCTTGAATTTGATGTTAAAAATATGTTTTAATGATTCTAAAATGATCTATGAACCTTGGAGAACATTTCTATATAGTTTAATTGAAGTTTGGTAACTAAAATTGATATGTTCGAAAATGGACCGAAGGTAGAAGATGATGAACAGTGACCGAAAATCGATTATTTTCATCCTAAGAATCGATTAAAACTTGTTCAGGTAACGCGTATCAAAATAAAATAATAATAATCGATTATATTAAGGTATAAAATTGATTTTTGGTATTTAATCGATTAAAATATATTATAAAATCAATTTTACAAATTTAATCGATTAAAATACGTTGAAAAATCGATTTTACAAATTTAATCGATTAAAATATGTTGAAAAATCGATTTTTATATATTTAATAGATTAATATATATTTAAAAATCGATTTTTATATTAATTTATTGAATAAATCGATTTTTCCTCAATTCCAGTGTTCCGAAAATATTCTTGGAAATATTCTTTGAAAACACTAATTAATTATGAACAATTTAAATATGATTTTGTATAATAAATGATGTTTTTGGCATATAAAACATTATGTGATGCATGACGATAAGTTCGGGTGTTAACACCCGAGACTAGGCCGCTGTATGCTATTAAATATTATGTTGAATGATCATTATGATGAATAATTATTATGGATAATTATGAATGATAAACCTACTGATTAAAATGATTATTGATGATTAAGTCATGATTAAAAATGAATTAATGGTGATTATGAAAACAGTGTATATTATTAAGGATATCTAGAAGAACTCTAAGATATACCCACTTGTTTATTGATGATGATTATTAAGGATATCTAGAAGAACTCTAAGATATACCTACTTGACCAATTCATATTTCGGGTTAAAACGTACGTACGGGATCCAGACCGGATATCACCCACCCGACAAATCATTGTTCGG